ATCTTCCTCTTTTTTTCCCCTTGGAATCTTCTTCTTCTTTTTCTCCTGTGCTCAATCAATCAATCCATCAATCAATCCATCAATCAAGCCATCAATCAATCCATCAATCAATCACTCGATCGATCAATCAATCAATCAATTGATCAAAATCAATTGAATTGGTTGGTTGATTGATTGATTGATTGATTGATTGGGGTCGTCTCCCCCGCGCGTGCACCCACACACAGACAAAGACACGCACGCGCAGCAAAAGCGCTGTTTTTTTTATTCTTCTTTTTCTTCTTCTTCTTTTTAAATTTTGCGTATTCTTCGTTTTCTTCATCTTCTTCTGTGGTGGCAGTCGACTTTCGGGTAATTGATTGATTGATTGATTGATTGATTGATTGATTTATTGATTGATTGATTGCTTAATTGATTGATTCATTGATTCATTGATTCATTGATTCATTGATTCATTGATTGATGGATCAACGCAGAGGACTGGCAGGGTTTTTTTTTTTCTGTTTCTTTTTTCATAATTCAAAGGTCGCCCGTGATCAATCAATCAATCGATCGATTGATTGATCGATTGATTGGTTGATTGATTGATTGATTGATTGATTGATTGATTGATTGATTAGTTGATTCATCGATCAACCACACACACACACACACACACACACACAGGTCATCTTTCTCCATCGTCGTTGCACCTCTTCGTTCACCCACCCTCCACATCCATCTCCTCCACCTCCAGATGCTTTCCAACCCCGACCCTGATCCGGAGGGTTGATCACTCAATCAATCAGTTAATCAATCAATCAATCAATCAATCAATCAATCAACCTGTCAATCAGTCAATCAATCAACCTGTCAATTAGTCAATCAATTCGATCGTGCCCCCACTCCGCTCCGACCTTTCCACCCGCACCCTTCCCGCCGTTACCCCTCGTTTCGCCCCCAACTTTCCCGACGATTTCTCCCACTCATTTTTTATTGATTGATTGATTGATCAACCAGTCAATCAATCTATATATTGAAGGCGGTCGATCAATCAATCAATCAATCAATCAATCAATCAATCAATCAATCAATCAATCAATCGATGAAACAATCAATCAACCAATCAACTAACCAATCAATTGATTGATTGATTGGTTGATTGGTTGATTGGTCGCCCTCCCCCCCGTCCCCCCCTCTTCCCCTACTCCTCTGCGTGATAGTCCTCTTTTTTTTCTTTTTTTTATTTCTTGGTCATCGTGACCCCGATCTCGACGCCGATCTAGACTCTGATCCGGATGTCAATATCGACGCCGGTCCCGACGTCGATTCTTCTTGGACATCCCAACCCCAATCCCGACGCCGATCCTGAGGCCGACCTTTTGCACCCACCCTTCCCGCCGACCTTTCGAAACCACTGCTCGATTGATTGATGTTGGTCGATCAATCGATCAATCAATCAACCACTGCGCAATTGATTGACGTTGATTGATTGATTGGTCTCCCTCCCCCGTGGCCCCCTCCTCTTCCCCTCCTCTTCCGCGTGGTTGCCACGTGGAAACCACAGCGCGATGGTGCTCTTTTTTTTTTTTTCTTCTTCTTTGTTATCCTGACTCCAATCTCGACACCGATTCGGACTCCGATCCCGATGTCGATCCCGATGCCAACCTTTTGCACCCAGGCTTCCCGCCGACCTTTTCTTCTTTTTCTTCTTCTTCTTCTCCTCCTTTTTATTTTTGCGTATTCTTCGTTTTCTTCGTTTTCTTTTGTGGTGGCAGTCGACTTTCAGGTGATTGATTGATTGATTGGTTGGTTGATTGATTGATTGGTTGGTTGATTGATTGATTGGTTGATTAATTGATTGATTGATTGATTGATTGATTATTGATTGATTGATTGATTGATTGATTGATTGATTGATTGATTGATTGACTGACTGATCAACGCAGAGGACTGGCGCTTTTTTTTTTTCATTTCTTTTTTCGTAATTCAAAGTTTGGCCGTGCTCAATCAATCAATCGATCAGTCAATCGATCGATCGATCAATCGATCGATTGATTAATCAATTGATTAATTAGTTGATAGATAGATTGATTGATTGATTGATTGATCGACAACCAGAGAGAGAGAGAGAGAGAGAGAGAGAGAGAGAGAGAGAGAGAGAGAGAGAGAGAGAGAGAGAGAGAGAGAGAGAGAGAGAGAGAGGTCTTCTTTCTCCACCGTCGTTGCGCCTCTTCGTTCACCCACCCTCCACATCCATCTCCTCCACCTCCGGATGCTTTCCAACCCCAACTCTGATCCGGGGGGTTGATCACTCCATCAATCAGTCAATCAATCATACAATCACCCGATATATGACGCCCTCTCCGATCAACCCTCCGATGGCGATAAGCAGTGATCTCGATGCCTATAAGCACTGATCTCGACACCGATAAGAGTTGATCCAACCATCCATCCATCCATCCATCCATCAATCAATCAATCAATCAATCAATCAATCAATCAATCAATCAATCAATCAATCAGTCAATCAACCAACCAATCAGTTGATTGATTGATTGATTTGATTGATTGGTTGGTTGATTGATTGATTGTTTGATTGATTGATTTGAGTGATTGATTGGTCGCCCCCCCCCCCGCCCCCCGCCTCTTCCCCTACTCCTCTGTGTGATAGTGCTCTTTTTTTTTATTATTATTATTCTTGGTCATCGCGACTCCGATCTCGATGCCGATCTGGACTCAGATCCCGACGCCGGTCCCGACACGGAGGGTCAAAAGCTACTAGAAAAGTCCGATGTCTAGACATTCTTTTTTTGCCAACTCAAACAGCAATTAGTGGAAGTCCTTCAAATGCTCAGAACCCCTGGAAGCCCCCCTAACTTTGAGATTTCAGATATTTCTAAGTTTGCTCATCCTGCATGATATGTACGTTGCCCGAATGAAGCTTCGTTGAGTGCGTCTGGCCTGTTTCTGGAGTGTGATACATGCATGACGGGTGGTGTGGAATACAGTGGGTGTGTGAGAAGCTGGATAGTTGCAAACATGGACATACAAGAACTTGGGCACAAGCAGCAGCAAGCAAACAGTCCCAGAAAAACAGATATCAAGTTCAATCCCACTCTCCTCTCCTCCCCAAACTTCCCCCCCTGCACGCCTCTCACTTTCATCATCCACAAACGTGACACCCACTTCAACCACACACAGTTGCCTTGGGAAAAGGAGACAGCTGCCTTGGGAAAAGAAGGAAAGGGTGATCAAAAGCATGCAACTTACATGGAGGTCATAGAGAAAGACATGACCATCCCCGCCAGCAGCGGCAAACAGAAGCGGTCGAAATGGAGCCCATTGCACTGCAAACATATATTGATCAGACGGTTCAAGATGAATCACAGGCTTGATCTGCAAAGCATTGTACAGTCTGATGGAGCCGTCCACTCCACAGGATAAGAACACATTTTGCTGATATGGTGAGCATGAAACTCCGCGGACAGGACCAGTGTGTGTCTCATATTCAGACCTGACTGGCGACTGCAGGTTATGCTCCTGATCCCCCCAAACTTCTGCAAATCATGTCACAAATGCAGCATACAAGTTTCAGCGTGGCAGAAATGACTCAGTGACAATCAAACTACTTGATGTTCATAGTTGGATAATCAATTGATCGATCAACTTATCATTTGGTCAATTAAGCTCTCAATCAATCCCACCCATCTTATCCGATCTCATCTGAGGTTGTCCAATTTCAGATAATACCAAGTTGTGGATTGATTAATCTGTTATGATCCTGGCCAATTTCGAAGTACACAGTCATGAGAAAGCACAATGCTGTCCAATTGCAAAAAGAAATGAATGAACTTGAGAGGAGAGAGAGGGAAAGAAGAAGAAGAAGAAGAAAGAAGAAGAAGATGTACACCAGCAACGACCAATGATAATCCCCTTCTTCTCGCCAATTGCTCTCCTCCTCCTTTTCTCCTCCCCCCTTTATTCACAACAATAATAATAATAATGTTGAACGGCTGAACCAGAATCAATGTCTGAATCCCTCTTCTACTGCAGGTACAACATGAGGTCCACCATAGCCATGGACACCCTTCTCCTTCCTCTTCCTGAAGGCCGAGGCAATGGCGGACTACCAGGGCCTTGCTCTGCTGTGCAAAGGGCAACACAAAGCAGCTATGGCTGCTCTAGCTCAGGCCGCCATGCCTGACTCTGCCTCAAAGCTTCTTGGTGTAGCTCTACCCCAACTGGGGCCTTTCAGATGCAGCCCCCACCAAGGTGATGAAGATGGGATCCACCATAGCCAGGTTAAGTACCTCTGGCGCTCTCCCTCTTCCTAGTCCTTGTCTTCCTCCTCCTCCAGTCCGTACTCCTCCACCATAGCCATCATGGAGAGCTGGGCACTCTGTCCTCCCCAGCAGCGCTGCTGCAGCCAGCGCTCCAAGCAGTGTGTCGCCAAACTTGGCCTTCCAGATGCAGCACCCACCAAGGTGATGAAGATGGCATCCACAATAGCCAGGTTAAGTACCTCTGGCGGTCTCCCTCTTCCTAGTCCTCGTTGTCCTCCTCCTCCAGCCCGTGCTCCTCCACCATGGCCGTGGTGGAGAGCTGGGCGCTCTGTCCTCCCCAGCAGCGCTGCTCCAGCCAGCGTTGCTCCAGCCAGCCCTCCAATCAGTGCGTCGCCAAACTTGCACACTGAAGAATGAGGAGGAGCACTTGGCTCCTCCTGGAGATATAGCAGCCTGCTTGCCTCTTGGGCAGCAACTTCCTAGGTCGCGGGGCCTCCAAGAAACCGGTACCTCCTCCCGTTCGGAGGAAAACATCATTGCAGACTCTGATATTGCCCGTACAGGCCCTAGACTCAGGCTGGTTGGACTGGTACCCGCCTAGACCTAGCCTACAACTACTAGGCCTCTAAAAATGCCAACTTTGTCTTGTTCTGATCGTCCTCAAGTACCCGGCACATCTACCTCTACTTGGTGTGGTACCGGCCTACCTGCTACTTGAGTGTTTCTCCGCTGCTCTAAGTGTCACGGGCCTCTTTCCCCACCACTTGAGTTTTTTCCCCCTGCAACCCTCAATGTCACGGCCACAGGTAAGTACCGGCCCCTTGGGCCTCCCGTATGGACGGGTGCCCTTGCTGGTCACACACACACTCAATCGACAAGCACTCAGACAGGGATTCAGACCAGCAAGCACACACACACACATTCACTTAGAAAACTCAGCAACAAGCGGGAAACTTAGCAAGGCGTACATTCCATCATCAAAACTCAGAAATCAGCTGTGTGTCTCAGTGCTTGTTTGGCAGGTCCTTACAAATCAAGCTTTTTGATCAATCCAAACCAATCCTGTCTTATCTTATCGCATCCAATAGTATCCAACCCCAGACAATGCCTTGCATTCATAACTAGCTTCATTCCCACTTCAGTCCCACCTAACCCCATTCAATCTTATTCGATCTTTTCCAATCTTATCCAATCTTATCCAATCTTATCCAATCTTATTTGATCTTTTCCAATCTTATCCAATTACATCCAATAATGCCGAATCCCAGACAATGCCATGTGGTGTAAGCTACCGGTAGTTTCATTCCTACTCCAGTACCTAAACCCATTCAATCTTATCCACTCTTATCCAATCTCATCCAATCCCATCACGTCCTGGTCAATGCTGTTCCATTCTGTCCTATGACTAATATCCCATCCCATCTCATCAATCCATCCATATCTGGAATTCTGTGCTTTTAAACCACCAGTACCTTGTCCAGCCAAACGTTTTCCTCTTCCTGAATTCATGGAAGACGTTGGCAGGTCTGGTGGAGGCTTGGTACAGCGTCAGCTATGCATGGGTGGTCGCTCATTTTGAAAACAGAAACGAGCGACCAGAAAAGCGAAAAAAAAGAGAAGAAAAAGAAGAGAAAACAAAACAAAATAAATGCCTCTCAAAATGGCGTGGGTGGGCTGTTCTGCAGAGCAGTGTGTGTTGTGGCTGTACTCCTCAAGCATCGCTCCACTACTCACCACATGCACAAAAGACAAAATATGGTAGTGTATCTTCCCATGTAGTAGCCATTACATGCTGAGCCTGCACACGGGCCCCATTTCAGGGCCCGGCGGTTCCTGACGGGCCCCAGGCCACCTGCCCATCGGACACGCGCCCTGGAGGCCCACGGCAGCTCCCAGGCCGCAGGTTTCGACTACAGGCAGCATTTATTTATTTATTTATTTACTTATTTATTTGCTGTCCTATTTTTGTCTGTGCAGACGACGTTTCGGACTTGCACTCCCCAAGGCTACGCCTTGGGCTGGGTACACAGGAGCGAGGTCGTTTTTAGGCCAGGCACGTTTTTGCGCCTTGCTGCATCAGCAGCATGGTCTGGACGCCCGGTAGGGGCCCAGACCGAGTGGGCCGTTTGAGGCCAGCATCAGGCGCGCCCTGCCAGGCCCAGTGCTACTTATAGCTGGGCAGCGGCTGGGCATACACACAGTTCAAGTAGCTCACTTCTTGGGTGACACGGTGCTGGACCAGCACCGCACGCAACAGCGCTGCGCTGCGCTAGAGGTACGTGAGTAGGTAGGGAGACAGGGCGGAGGCCATACCTGCAGCGTTCGAGTACGTACCTGGGCGCCATAGCTGGATCTGGCTCCAACGACCTGCAGCACAGCGTACGCCGGCGACCTCAGTACTTGGCAGCAGTTACCTGCAGGTGAGACAGTGAGGAGGACGACATCATCTTCTTCTTCTTCTATCTGTTCTTGCCCTCCCCCCTCTTCTTCCTCCTTCCTTCTTCTTCTTCTTCTTTCAGAGAGAGAGAGAGAGAGGTTACTGGCAGAGGTTACTTCGGGCATGATGCACGGGATCTGATCCGACATTTTCGTGGCAGACATTGATTGGACTTTCGACAGGGAGACTATTTTGGACTTCGCTATCACGGTCTCGTCTTCTCCCTCGCCTCCATCTTCGTCTCGCCTCTTCCCCCATATCTCGTTCGTGGCACCTCCCCCATGTGTGTGCAAGGAGAGACCTTTCGTCTATGCATGCGTTCCTTCTCCCTCTCACATGAGTGATGTATGATGGGATGTCGCGTCAGTATCTGACGGGTCAGGTCATATCCTTGAGTCTTCCATTGCGCTACTTTGTGCCATTTTTTTGTATGTATCTCGATGTACACTGCCGTTGATGTTTTGCTGACACTGCATTGTCCAGTCGAGTCCATTTCATCACTTTGCGGATCCTTGGCTCCCCATGCATTGCTCGATTGAGCATGCTTCACTAGCTGAACATTCATTCTCATTTTGCACATTTGGTATGGACCGGAGCGAGGCCTACGGGATTTGGAAAATCTACTCACGGCCTACTGGAATTAAAACAAAAGAAAAACAAACAGACAGATACAGTGCCTTGTCCTACGAGATTCGCCTGGGGCCTTGCTGCCCTTGTTCTTCCGTTAATCTTTCGCAAGAACGTGGACGGGTTCAGAGAAGATCAGCATGGAACTGTGCAAGTTGTCCAAAAAAAAAAAAAAAAAAAAAAAACAAGAAAAAGAAAAGAAAGATTTACTGCAATGTAATGACCTGACCAAACACGGACTGAGACACACAGCTGATTTCTGAGTTTTGCTCATGGACAGAATGCCTTGCTGAGTTTCCCGCTTGTTACTGAGTTCTCTAAGTCTGTGTGTGTGCACGTTTGCTGGTCTGCATGTCTTTCTGAGTGCTTGTCCGCTTGCGTGTGTGTGTGACACGCAAGGGCACTTGTTCGTTCAGTGGGCCTGAAGGGCCAGTACTTACCTGTGGCCGTGACATTGAGGATTTGTGGCATACTCAGATTCCACATGGTCCCCTACAGGGCCCGACCAGTAGGACTAGGAGTTCTAGGAGGTTCAGGGTCAGTCTAGGGTCTGTTTTCTAGGGTCCGTGTCCGTTCAGTAGGCGGTACCAGCGGTTAGGCCCTGGCGCAGTTTCGCGCCAGACCCTAGTACGGTCTGGACGCCATTTTGGCGCCAGATCTTGGTGACTGGGCGCCGTTTCACTTAGGCGCCAGGACCGTTTTTGGAGATACGAGCTGGGCCACCGATCGCCGATTAGATGGGACGGCCCTGATTCGATTCAGGACCTAGCAAAGACCAGACCAGCATTATTTATAGCTGGTCCACCCAGTCCTAAGTAGGCATTCTTCGGGACTGTCGTAGTGGTAGCTGTAGTCAACGACAGGACGATAGGTGGAGCGCTGGCGCTGAGCATAGCGCAACTGCAGTTCGCTGCAGTAGGAGAGAGAGATCGGGGCTGGGCTATGGCGGAAGCCAAGGGGCTTACCTGAAGACTTACCTATTGGTTCCATCGCTCCAGCTTCGTTTCCAGCGCGTACGTACCTGCATTCATACGGGCATCTTGCGCAGGTCAGTACTTTTTTTTTTTTTTTTT